CCATCCATCCATCCACCCATCCATGCACCCATCTACCCATCCATCCATGCACCCATCCACCCATCCATCCATCCATCCACTCATCCATCCATCCACCCACCCACTCATCCACTCATCCATCTGTCCATCCACCCACTCATCCATCCATCCACCCACCCACCCATCTATCCATCCAACCTCCTATTCAATTATCCTCTCTCTTTCCCTCCCATCCACCTTTCCTCTCTCAGAGGCTGAAGTGAGCATTCTCTTGTGTCTGTCTACCTCCTTCCTTGGTGACCTTCAGGCTTCAGCAGAGCCTATGGGGTCCCCATAGTTGCCAGCTCAGCACCCGAGAGTCCTGCCTGCTCTGTTGTTCCCTTCCAGGGCCAGCTGGGTCAGAAATGACACCCTTATCTCAGTACTCTCTCAGCCTCCCATGAGCCTGGCTCACTAAACTAGCCTGGATGGGGCAGACCTGGTCCACTGCAGCCAACGTGACACCAATAAACATCAGTATTTGTGGAGCAGGAGGAAGGACTTGGCGCTGAGCTGACATGCCCAGGGGAGCTTAATAAGGCAGCCCTTGGCAGACCTTCCATCGTTTGGCATAGCTCTTGGAGACCCCACTGAGTGGGTAAAGCAAGTCAGGCCCATCGGGGGGAGAGGCAGTCTGTGGCCAGACCACTACCTACTCCTCCCCTGCCTTTTGTCCCCCACTGTCATGGAACTCTGGTCCTGAGAACTTACAAAAAAGTTTTTTAGTATTTTTGGTGGAGAAAATTAGAAAAATACAAGAAATCTTTACAAAGCAAATAAAAAGTAGCCTTGACTCTACTGTGCTAAGCACTGTTGATATTTTGGTGTGCTTCTTGGGATTTTTTTATTTCCAGATAAAATGGGGATGTGCTGTACATACCTCTTAGCCCTCACTTTCCTCATGTCTGGCGGTCTAGACTGTCCCCATGTTGGTCAACCCTCTCCCTCAGCAGCCTCGCTCTGCATACTACAGGTGCACCCTGGGTTTTCTCCCATTGGCTTCTGCTGGGCCGGCGCTTCCAGAGGAGGACCTTTGCCACTCCCGCACCCCCACCCCCCCGCAGGTTCCTGTCTCTCGCCCGGCCTGCCTCACTTTTCACGGTCACAGCTGCTCAGGCCAACTCTACTGTCCTCCATCAGAACTCTGCGGAGGGGCCGGGCGGAGGCCCTGTGTTCCAGAATCCATGCAGGGCTTATTGAAAGTGCAATTTCTCTCGCTTTCCCAGGGGTTCTTGATCACACATTGAATTGGGGTGTGCTGGTGGCTCAAGGGTCCAAGTGCCCCAGGGCTGGCTGGGAGATGGTCTGAGGCTGATCACCCCACACTTGTTGG